CGATCCAGCTCCGAAAACCACTCCTCTACAGTTTCTTCATCCCCATCTAAGACAAGCGGATCAGCATTCTTCTCTTTGATCCTCTTTTGCTTGTTGGACAACTTCGAATTGAATTGCACATTTACTAGACTGTTCATTTGATCAACAACTAGCCTATTCCTCTCACTAGCGTGAATCTACAACATATGAGAATAATTTGAGAGTTTTACCAAATTTAGAAACATAATCATAGTTAATACACAAAAAGAGCACAAACCTTTTCAAAAGCATTCCAGTTTCGTTGACAACCAGATGAACTAGAAGTCAATGAGAGAATCTTTGTTGCTAGTATTGCCAAATTACGCACATCACATCCGTATACGGACCACCAATGCTCTACAGAATCCAAATTGCAACATAAGTGATGGTTTTACAAACTTGAAAAAGTAGATCATAAGGCGAGAGAAAAACCTGGATCAAACTCATCGATATTCTGTTCACATCCTCTCCGAGCATGAGGTTTTCCAAAAAGTCCAAGTTTATTCTGATAATTTCTAAACTCATGGTTGACAACTTTGTCTTGTTTCTCAAACTCACCATGGTAAAAAGTCTCAACACAACTGAGAAAACCATTCGTGAGCGTCTCATCCAGCTGAATGGTTGGTTCCTTGTAGAAATAGAACGGGTTCAACAAGTAGGCAGTCAGATGCAACGGAGAATCCAACCTACCTTTAATCTTCTCATCTATGATCTCAAAGATAGGTTGGTAGTACTTTTCCAAGTTATTCGAAGCAGTTTTGATAGATCTTTTGGCTTCTACTAACTCTCCATAAATAAACCCCATTGACGGTTTTTTTCCTCCATCAAGCATTCTAAGAACTTTGACGAAAGGCTCCAAAACCTTCACAATTCGTGAGGCACCGTTCCAAAATGCAGGACACAAACAGGCATTGTAAGAACTTCGACCCTTTACATAACTGGAATCTTTGCATCTCTCCCATTCATCACTAACAAACATTAATTTCAGTTGTGCCTTTTTCTTCAACAAGCTTTGCAAGGTCAAGAAGGTTGTCGCAAGTCGTGTGACTCCAGGTATCACAATATCCCTTTCCTTTGTATGATATCTCATCAGAGCTAAGGTTTTCTCATGAGCGTATATGAACATTGTCACAGCCTTAGCTTTTTCAATGTATTTTGAAATCATTGGCAACTTCACAATATCTTCAAGCATCAAATTAACTGCGTGAGCAGCGCATGCCGACCAAAATATACTTGGTCTCTTCTCTTTCAACATCTTTGCTGCTGCTAAGTTGCTCTCCGCACTGTCAGTTATAACCTGAACAACTTTCTCAGCACCAACATCTTCTATGCATTTATCTATATACTCAGAGATAAATGTACCAGTCTGAGATTCTTTTAAGACTTTTTTCGAAGAAACAAAACTTGTCCCTCTTCTTGAATTGACACACAAATTCGTCATGTTCTTCTTTGTATCACTCCATGTATCTACCAGTATAGAGCAACCTTTCCGTTCCC